GCATGCTGCTGGTAGTGTTGCTGGGAGGAAGCAGAATGAGTTGTGAGTTCAAAGCTTGTTGCTGGTGCACGGTGAATCTGACAGGATTTGACCGGATCGCGTTCGCTCGTGTTTGGTTGTCATTGATGGTCATCCGGATACCAAAGGGGCCAATCAGATTGCGAGAAGATATGCGATAGACCAGAACACAACCGCTCGCCGTGTCCGGGTTGTTGACGCAACGATGCAGAGGAGGGCACGGTGCGACGCAAGCACCGCTCTCTTCTCTGCCCCAGCAGCGATGATACCTTCTGTACAAGTGTAGCGATCAATAACGACGCTCCAGATAGTCATGTATACGATTACGAGAAACTGAGCGTAAGATCCTTCATCTCGACCAAATTTAATGCCTTTAGTTCTAGCCAACCCTAGCATACCTCCAGCTACAATCGCTTTCGGCTTGCGTCTTGGTGGTTGAGACAAAATCATTTATTTTCAATTGCCCGGATCGCCCACAACTGGGGTGAGATGTCATGGTAAATCAAGCTGGTTGTGAAATACAAATTTCGCCGTCCGCAACTTTTTCTACAGTTGTCGCATCTCGAGCTTTGAACAAACCACAAGTCAGCAGGTTTGCACGGTGTTGTTGCACTGGATTCCATTCCGTGCTCACAACCCGGTCAGGTTGACGAGGGTCGTTATCGCAGCAACTTCCAACATCAACAACCGAACCAGCAGATTCACCGTGCACCAGCAACAAGCTTTGAACTCACAACTCATTCTGCTTCCTCCCAGCAACACTACCAGCAGCATGCTCGCTCGCAACATCGCCCTCTTCGACGCCCCCAAGCCCTACGGCCTCATGTGCTTGACGGTCACCATCCACGAAGCGCGCCAAACGCACGCCTCCGCCGTGTACGCCCAAATCAAGGTCCACGACGACGTCCAGCTCCAGACAACGAGCGCCAACAACGACTGGAACGAAACCTTCCACATCTACGTCGCCGAGCCCCGCGACGAGACGCTGTCCATCCAGCTCACTGACGCCTCGGCGTGGTTCAGTGGTGACGCCGGTGCCTGCACGATTCCGCTGGCGGGCCTCTTGAGCGGCGCGTCTGTGGATGCGTGGTTCCCGCTCACGGTCCGCGGCTCCCAGCAGGGCGAGGTCCGCTTGGGGTTGCAGCTCCGCGGTGACATTGCGACGTATGTCAAGGTGCACGGCGTTGATGAGACCAAGGCACAGCCGCTGGCGTCGCCGGCCGGGACCACGGCAGCGGCGGCCTAGACGCGTGTAGTCGATTCGCTGTATTTACTTCTATTAATCTTAATTGACACGTCTAAGCCTAGCTCGATCATTGATCACTCTCGTCCATCCTCCAAGAACGCAACAACGAAGCACTGATGATAGTACATGCAGACTAGTATTAGATATATCGACTAGATGGAAACGACTCTAGTTGCCGAGCTCGTGGAGACGCTCGAGACGGTGCTCGGGGTGGTGCTCGCACATGAGCGTGTCGTTCTGGAGCGCGGTCCACGCCTTCTTAA